CATATTATCTCATATTATATAATCTTTTAATAGGTGGTAAATTATATAAAATGAAAATATGAGTATTATTGCCAAATAAAAGCAACCCAACTTTGGGACAGAAAAGACAAATAAAATTAACGTATAATATTATAGAAAAACACACATAAGATTATTTAACATCTTCACTCGATAGGTTAAAGTTTGTTTTACATCGATATCGATTTTAATTCATTATACCCTATGTTAAGATATCAAGATATAACAAATTTTGAATACGCAATTTTCAATAGACTTAATGTTGGTAATATTTGGAATTTCTTATAGTTCAAATGAATTTTTGACAGAATTAAAATTGTTCAAATAATCCTATTACTTTGTTATTTTTGAGTATTATACCTAATCATATCTTTTGAATGTACGCAAATTTAATTAGCAACCAATTAACTTCTTTACTAATTAGATAATTCTATTAGTCCTACATCATCCAATTCTTTTAACACAATTAGTGCTGCATTTTTCAATTCTTTTAAGAACTTTAATTTGGTGAAAGGTCTTAATTATTCCTTCAATTCAAGCATTTTGGATCGGATAGCTTTAGGCATAATTTTTTTATAAAAACAGGTTTAAAGATATTTCTAATGTCTAGTGGTTCATCCATAATCCGCATAATTATTTATATACAGTAAAATTTTTCCGAAGTTAAGTAACGTAAATTGTATTTATAATTTGAATATTAATATCGCTTGATTCATTAATTTTTTTTTTTTATGTGACAGACAAGTAGATTATTTTATTTAGAGATATGCAAAAGAGTAATATGTTGAAAATTAATATTTAAAAAGATCCTGTAAATTGATTCAAAAAAAGGTTTTCTAATTTGAAATGGTAAACTCAATAATGCTATCTAATTACGGGATTAATTTTTAACATGTAACAAACTATATTACAAGTTTATTTTAAAACAGAAGCATTATCAGCATTTAATAAAAATTAATAATTATCTACAGTACGAGAGTAAAAGACTTTTCTCTTTTACCGATAGTAATGCTAGGCGATATGGTGTTTGATCAACAATATCACGTGTTCATTTTGATGATGCTGATTAGTTGATTACATCAGTCACTAAAGCTCCGATCGTTTGATGGAGATATCATAAAAAGTGTATTATATTCCCCGTATTTAAATGTAGAATGCATATAGCGATCATGACCTCTTGCCAAATTTGGGTTAATTCTGGTCAAATTTGTAGGTCATTGCCTGGGCCAAATGATCTGCAAATTTGACCAGAATTAAACCAAATTTGGCAATTTTGAAATCGCAAAAATCAGCCATATGCTGAGATACATTCAGACAACCCCCTAAGCGTACGCTCTATGAATAGTCTCCCTAAATACAAGTCTTTACTTGGAACAAACTAATACATATTACGCCTATATAATTTACCTCCCTAAATGCAATACTTTTCAAAACGCACGTTTGGCTAAATTATTACATATGGTCCCGTCGCATTGTTTTTAGAGAGATCTGACTGTAATTCGTGAATTAATTTACACAATTTCATTTCTATTTGGTTATATCTTATAATCAAGGTTAAATTTTCAATGAAACGAATATAAGATAGATCGAACGACTTATTTATTTATTGGATATGTTGTTTTAATATACTTGCTTTTGTCAAAACTATCACAGCTTATGCTTTAACTAGTCTCAAATATCTAAATAGTTTCGACATCATGTATAATCTGAATGCAAAATCTTGTGCCCATTTGTGTAATATTTGTACGAATCTCCTGTGCCGGATTTCGGAATTTTCTGCAAAATACTGAATCCTATATATAGCAGTCAAAAAAAAACTTATTTGAAGCCTAATTCAACGATGTTTATTGCATTTATCATCTTAATAGAATTGGAGAATTTTATATTTTAGAAACTTTACCAAAAATCATGTGGTCACACCTTTTTGGTGTTAAAATTAACCACTGTTTCACATGTTTTGTGGAACTGAAAATTCTTTAAATACGTAATGCTAAATATGCGCTCCATTTGTTCTTAAATCCGAAACATTTAAAATGTCGCTCAAATATAAAAATGTGTTAAATTTTAATGATAATAATATAATCTATGATTATGATAGTTTTGAAAATTTTGAAGAATTAAATATTGGAGAATCTGATTTAGTTTATAAAGCAATATTTAAGAAATACAGTGAACATGTAATTCTAAAACAATTAACAATATCCCAACGATTTACTTTAAGATTTTATCGAAGAAGTATAATTTAATATTTACTTAAATATCTAGATTGTTTTCTAAAAACATTTGCTCATTATTTTTTAATCTTTCTTATTAAATGTTTAGTTTAACAGATACCAAAATGTAAAATTACATGATAATATTTTACGAATTTTTGGTTTGACCATGCCAGGTATGAAAGTAAATATCGGGATACTTGAATAATTTAAATATATTTTGATGCAAAAGTTTTTACTGGCTGAAATATGATAAATTACTTTAATGCTTGTTAGTATATGTGTTAGACGTCACTTTCAAATTTCCGTCAATTAAAAACTTACGTACATAGCTTCGAAATTGTAAATTAAAGTACTTCATATTTTAATCGGTATCGGTATGATTTTATATTAAAAAAAAATTCGCAACACAAATCAAATTATTTTTATTAATAATTGTTTTATTTCCATTACGATTGTTAAAATCCACAAGTTGAAGATTAAACAACTGCTAAGTGCTATATGATTTTTGCATGTACCTCAGCGAATACAACCACAACGAAAATATAAAGAACATTATTCTTACGACAAGACAACTCCTACTTTCACAATTTGTTTTATTATTGTTCAGTTTCTTGGTTGGATGTTTCATTTGTAATATTTATTGGTCGGGTTTAGTGATGGGAAAAATGCACATTTTATAATAACATACGCATGAATGCGCATTAATGCGCACGTTATATAAAATGCGCATGATATCGCATGATATAATTTTTCGAATTTATATTTTCCCTTCGAAAATATCGGATATGTGATAAAATTTTTACCCCAATCTTGCTCTTCTTTTACGTTCATTCATTTTCTTTTCGGAAATTTTCAAGACTTTTGCATCCATATTCCTTAATTCCGCCCGACAATGCGCTCCCTGGCCTAAATTATACATACTTTAATTTTCCTATATAAAATTTAGATGGGATAAAATGCGCATGAATGCGCACGATAAAGGAATCATGCGCACGCATGAAACCCACCTCTGGTCGGGTTGATTTCGTAAAGAAATAAATTTGTCGATTGAAATTACATCAAGTTCAGGAAATTCATCAGTATCCAAGGGTCTAATTCGTTTGCTGAAAACCATGTAACCAAAATTCCAAATTTGCTTCCAACTTGATATGAGTCACAATGCTCGTCTATCCATTTTTAGCCTATCAATATCAGGAATCCGTATCTTTACGATATCACCAGGTTTCAAATTTAATACACGTTTTTTTAGGTTTATATCGTTTTTCATTAATATTAAGATTATAAATCATTTGACGGTTCTGAGTAACATGTCGATTTGCTACCACGATTATCTTTATCAAATTTAAATATTCAGTCCATCGATACTTCCAACTTTAATTAATTTAAAGGTATTAAGAACCCAATATTTAAAGTTTGAATTTTCATGTTTACTTTACGGGTTTCGTAAAATAGCCAGGCAACAATCATACTTTGAACGATTCATTATAATATGTCTTTCGTTTTTTCTATTGTCATATAATCATCAACGAATTTTTGAAAGCTTTGAAATGAAAGAAATGAAAAAAACTAGCAAAGAATTTGAAGCCATATTATGGAAGATAAAATAACAAAGAATGTTTTTTTGTTTTTTTTTTATAATCAATCTAGTTTATTAAGCTCTATTAAACTTGACGTACGTACATACGTACATTACATAACAGATATTAATCAGTATAATTTTTAAAACTACGTAGGCTACATTTTAATCGGTATAAATTTTAAACTCAGGTACATTAATGGTTATTTAAGAGCAACGTACAACACATACGTATCTGCATACATCAATCAAATTCAATGTAACACAGAATTTTTGTACCAGATGATACTAAAATTATCGAACTACCCCAGTAGCACCGATAGATTTTCACTGATCGACATAAATTGACCAATTAGATTTTAAGATCAGGTGTAACGTGAAAATCATGCGTTTTTTTAAAAACTTTAAAAAATAGCAAATAACTCAAAATTTTATATATGAAACTACTTATGTGCATTAGCAAAAAAAATTCCTTGCTAAATTTTGGTATAGAAAAAGCTCCGATGCGATTATAAGATCATAAACTAACCATAATATAATGTTTTGTTATTTAAAAATTGTTGGTTTGATCAAACCTGATTGGCGTCGATCAGTGAAAATCTGTCGGTGCTACTGGGGTTGTTAAAATTATCGCCATGGACCAAGCTCAAATTTCGTGCAAAGTTATGAATTTGATCGGGATTTATACAAATTTGATCGACAAATCCTGATAACAATAAGGATGAAAATTTTCTTTCCCGGAATTTTTGGCTGTAGAACCTCTACTTAAAGATTTCGATCTAACGATTCACGGCAAAAAGTTGATATGCGATCTGCATTATACATGTACACAACCATTACACTACGGATGGAGCAATAGTGCCATTAAAAAAATACGTATGTGTGTGCGTACAGTATAACTAAATAAAGTATTAAAGCAAAAATAATTTACCCTTTAGTAATTCTCAAGCCCTATTGTATTGCAATCTAAGAATTAAAAATTATTTGTAGTACGTACTGTACCACTATTCACGAAATTAAACCCGTAAATTTATACGAGATTACCGAATTAAAAATTATTGTTTGTGGTACTACTAATCACGATAATAAACTCATGAATTATTATTTATACGGGGAGATTACCGAAATTAACTGATGCTTTTTTTCTTTGCTAAAAAAAATTTTTTATGATTAATTATTTAAATTAAATAATGAGCTCGCTGTACGATACCAATCCTGATCAGCAGGAAAATAATTTGACTAATACCCCCACTTTAACAGATAAGAATAACAAAGAATATGAAGAAACAAAAGAAAAGGAGCCTGATTTAAGCCTTGTCAATGATACGAACCATACTGAAGAAGAAAAAGAAGCAATTGAACCCCCAAGTAATGAATTTGAAGATAATTCAAATGTTCCAAAATTATCTTATTTAAATATATTTTTACTTAATCTCTGGTTTGGATTTAATGCCTGGGGTGGTCCTATGGCTCAAATAGCATTAATTAAGGATACTTTAGTAATTCAACAAAAATGGATTACAGTGGCAAGGTTTAATAGAATCTTTGGTGTTTATCAAATTTTACCTGGTCCAGAAGCTACTGAATTATGCATGTTTTTTGGTTGTCTTTCTGGTGGTAGATTTGGTGGTTTTCTTGGCGGTCTGGGGTTTGTTTTACCAGGTTTTCTTATGATTTTACTCTTTTCTTATATTTATGTTATAGTTGGACTTGATAATGTTTATTTTAATGCTTCTTTTCGAGCTTTACAACCAATTGTATCTGCAATGGTATTAAGAGCTACTCACAAAATTGCTGAACATGCATTAATATCACATACATCTCATCGTTTTAGTTATTGGTTATTTGGTATGGCAATTTTGGCTGCGATTCAAACTACTGTAAACTTTAATTATTTTATAACTTTAGGTGTATGCGGTATAGCATTTATGTTTATTGAAAGAAAGTTATATTGGGTTGGATTATTTGTAATTTTATTAGAATTGGTTGGTTATGGAATTTATATTGGAATTAATAGAGCTATTCCATCTCCTAGTTCTCTTGGCATTGGTGTAGCTAAAGCTGAGCCTGGTAGTGGACCTGATCCTGGTCACATCTTTGCTTTGGGACTTGTTGCTGGCAGCTTATCTTTTGGTGGTGCTTATGTAAGTTTTATTATATATAATAGTTATAATTATTTATTTTATTTCTTAACAAAATATTAATCATTTCATTTTAAGGTAACAATACCATTTTTACAAGGTATACTACTTTATTTGTTATATATCCTTGATTAATTTATATTTGAAAACTTTTAATTAATAAATTAACTCTAAAATTTTATAGCTGAAGCAGTAACAATAGGACAATGGATGGCAATATCAACATTTCTTGATTCTATTGCTATTGGCAATATAATTCCCTCACCATTAGTAATGTTCTCCACATTTATAGGTTTTCAAGCTGGTTATCTCTGGGGTGGTCATAATATAGGCTTTGGCTTTCTAGGTGGTTTACTTATAGCTGTAGGAATGCTTTTTCCATGCTTTTTATTTACAATATTAGGACATAATTTACTTGAAAAATTAGTTCGCAATAAATTTCTAGCAGCATTTTTTGATGGTATATCTGGAACTGTTGTTGGAATTATTGCCGTAACTGCAATGAATTTACTCAATTCTTCAATAACATCCACAACAGGTCTTGCGAATGTATCACAACAAGATTTACCTATTCTTCTAGCAAAAAATAGTAGTATTGCGGCTGTATTATATGTTTTGACTTTGGCTGCTTTATATGGATTTAAAAAACCATATTTATCCTTATGGTTAGTAATTTTTGGTGCTATAGCTGGACAATTTTTATTTGTTAATAATTAATAGTTTTATATAAAGTTAATTTATTTTATAAGATTTTTATATAAAAGTAATTTTTTATTTATAGATTTTTTTAATTTAATATTTTATAATTTTGTTAGCATCGTAACACTAATAAAAACACTATTTTAAATATTACTACCAATTTTGTTCAACCTGGAATTTAAGTCCTTAATCTAACTTGATTTGTGATAATACTTCTATAACATAAAATTGAAGATTATTATTTCAATTAAAGCTGATCAATTAAAGCTGAAATTGAAAGTAATAAAAAACATAATATTAGTACGGTAGAAATAGAAAAAAAATAAAGCCGCATAGGTACGTAAGTTGTTGTGTGAATGATGCTTTTTTCTAGAGTTAGAATCTTGAGGTAGCATTCAAACAAAAATATCATGGTGACATGACATATTTGCTGTATAAGTAAAAATGCTGTATGTCATCTCCCTCTAAGTGCTGTATAATTTCAAGACAATTGTCGATTTTATCAATATTTACATAATGTATATTTCAAAATATGCTCGTGCATTAAAGAACTTTCGCCTTTTTATAAATCACATTTATTATTGAAGCATAAATTGTATTCAGGACTTTTTTGTATCTGTTGGTACAAAATAAATTAAACATACAATATTAAACTAAATACAAACGGATTTTATGAGTAATAAATATACATTTATTTTATGACAATTAGTTGGTATCACGTTGCTAAAATTCTCAGTGATAGCTTTTGTTAGCGCGTAAAAAAAAAAAGGTTTGATTTTTTTGTGTTATACTTGAACTCGAAATTTTGGTTGGTAAGCGAAATTTTTTTGGGGTAATAACACTATACGAAAAACTGCATGATTCATGACACACTACCTTACGGCAATATGATCCCGAGGTAGTACGACCTCTACGTCCTAGCTGCAATGCTTTGGGTAGTCACTACCAGTGTTCGAAATTTCAGATCTAAATACTGTTCTCATGAGAACAGTGGTATAGATGTAGGTGTTCTCAAGCTACGATTTTATGTTCACAAAAAAAAATAAAATAAAAAATACCAAACCAATATAAAGACAGTTATAGAAAATAAAAATATATATTATAGTTGCACTTAGTATTAAAAAAATAATTCAAATTGTTTAATAAGTATTTATAAATATTTAATAATTTATCAGAATAATACAGGTATACTTATTGGTTTCTGGCTTGTTATGGTAACGTTATGCAGCTTATTTATGAGAACACTATTATTATTTTACTGCTCTCAAAAATTTTTGATAGTGAATATAGATATAACAAAAGAAAAATCGAAATTTGATCCAACATATAATAATGATGGATTTGATGATGAGGGTTCTGATGGCAAGATTGATGAAATTGATGATAAACCAGAACAAACTGTTCAAGATACTGTCCTCAAATGGTGCGTAATCTACACTGACGGAAGAAAATCTATGACTAGTGAAGTTGATAATTCACAAACACTTCCTTGGAATTCATTTGGTGAATATCTCCATGAAAGTATGGGAGAGGATGATGATTTGCGTTGGCCACCTCGACTGACGTTAGAAGAAGCAATTAAACAACATAATCTAGATGATGGTAATTTGCTTGAAGCATGGAAGAACTTCATAAAATATGCTAAGAGAGGAGATCATATTGCACTTTATTGGATTGGATTTTACCTGCAATATGATATTTTAACAGCTTCTAACCTTTTTAAAAGAAGATTTTACGAAGAAGCTATAGATGAGTTTGCCGAAGAAGCTGAAACATATTTACAAGCCGCAATGATGCTCTATAAAAAATCTGCAGACTTTGGCTATCCTGAAGCGCAGCTAAGATATGGTTTTGGCCTTTATTATTTTAGATTATCTGCTGAGAATAATAATTATACAGTAGTGCAATGTTTAATTTTGGAATCATATTAATAATGAATGGTAATGACAATGAAAGAAGTGAAGGAGAGAAATGATTGATTAATGCTGCTAAAAACAAACATCAAAAAGCTATATTATTGTAATGAACATCATATTTGTTTTTAATTAATACAATAATGATTGTGATAATCTTTTTTAATAATCCAGTTAGGGTGAGTATTATAGTTTAAATTAAGGTTTGTTTTAGCATGGATTTCTTATATTGTATTATGCCTTCATTCAAATATGTTTAACATTGAGGTATTAAATATGGGATTTATGTTGCTATATAGCCATTTGTATGTTAATATTCTAAATATTAACTTACTTCTTAGTCGATTAATAACTTTTTAAAAGTTCTTTTGTTACTGTTCAGAATGAATATGAATATTGTATATACCTACGTGCTAGGCTGCTCTGCCAGGTCTATGGTAGTATTAATCGACTAATCGATAGTCAATTAATCGATTAATTGACCAATCGATTAGTTAGTATATCGAAATACGTTACTGTATAAAGCAACTAATCGATAAGTTGTCTAATAAAATTATCAATCTATTAGTTTCCAACATTATCATCTAAATATGGACTGAAGCGGTTGTTTATAATTTTTAATGTTAGTTTTAATCATATAAAAGTTCTTCTCCAGAATTTTTAAATCGGCGAAATTATTTCATAACTCGTTACAATAATCAACTGAAGCACGCCACATTGAAGCTACAAGCTTGAATACTGATTTATGATCTAAATCTGGATTATTTTTTTTTTACAATTGGTATATTAAACATCATAAAGCACTAGAGACAATTTTTTTTCTTTACACACATTAATAGTTCTGAAGAGAATTCATCGGAATTTTTTCTGGACATTAAAACAAAGTAATCGATAAGGTAATTTCAAGTGTGTTTGCATATGCACTTATACTATCTTGGCAACTTAAAGAAATTTCTCAATTTTGTGATGATACTCTAATAGGATCACGTCGATTCGAAGATTAATTAGTAATAAATCGTAGTCGAATTGAGTCGGTTGCTGGTAGAGATGGGGTGCGCACGTTATATAAAATGCGCATGATATCGCATGATATAATTTTTTTTTGATTTTATATTTTTCCTCCGGACAATATCGGATATTTGCCAAAGTTTTTTCCTGATCCTTCTTCATTCATTTTCTTTTCGGAATTTTTCAAAACTTCAACATTCCTATTTCTTAATTTTGCCTGGCATTATACACCTTGGCCTAAATTAAATATACTTTAATTTTCCTATATAAAATTTAGATGGGATAAAATGCACATGAATGCGCATTAATGCGCACGATTGAGGAATCATGCGCACGCATGAAACCCATCTCTAGTTTTAATAAAACAATTTTGCAAATTGCTGATGAAATAAATCTAATTTCAGATGTAAGCAATTCTTTTTCAGAAATTAATTTATTTAATTTCAGATGTTAGCAATTCTTTTTCAGAAATTCATTTATTTAATATCTCTAAAAGTAAATTTGTTAATTTCAACAATTTACCAGATCCTAGGAATAAACAAAATCCGGATAAGCAAATGCATGCAATACTTAATCACGGTCATTGATCATAAAACCTTAATTGTATCTTTTATTTAAAAATATAGATGATATTGAATATTGCAATAGTGCTGATAATTATTTGCAAATGGAAAATAGTGTCTGTTAATCCCACGAGTTTCGTATGATAGTAAAGATCAAATTACACGTCAAAATATAATTGGTAAATTATATTATATTTTGTTAATTGCTTGTGATTAATAATAATAAAATACTTTTGATTAAATAAATCCAAATTTAAATTTGCTAAATCTGTTGAATTGCAATATTGTGAGTATCTAAATATTTATATTTATAATAATAATCTTTATGATACAGTATTTATTCCAACTTACTTTTATTTAAAACTATTATAGATAACCAAACTGATAATATTAGAGGAAATAGAAATGAAAATTACCGAAGGTAATTTTATTAATTAATTCCAGTACTACCATTTAACATATTTCTAATTAAATAATAAACATTTTAGAAGTTCCACTACAGATTTTAGATGAAAGCTAAATGGAATTTGTAAATTTCAAAAATGGTAAGAATTTTTATAAATTTTCTTTACCTACAGAATTTTATGCATACTCTAATAAATATTATGCACTTGATAAATTAGAAATGATGAAAATTTTCTCTCCATATGGAATAAAAATAGATACTTATTTAAACCTGAGTCGATTTGAGGAATCACTTACAGAACTTAATAGTTTATTGGAATTTGGCCCAAATAACGAACGAGCACGTGGAAATGTTTTTATGTTATTGAATAAATATGATGAATCACTTGTAGATCTAAATAAAGCATTAGAAATTGATCCAAATAATGCATCTATACTTGGTGTCCGTGGAGAAGTTTATAGACAATATATCTGCATTTAGTAGTCGCGGGCATATTTACCAGATCTTAATAAAGTATCGGAAATTGAACCAAATAATGTGGACGCTCTTAAATTAATTAAATCGATATGAAAAGTCACTTGCGGATCTTAATAAAGCATTAGAAATTGAATCAAATGACATGTCTATACTTGGTATCCGTGGAAAATTTTATCAACGATTAGATGAATCACTTGCAGAACTTAATAAAGCATTAGAAAATTGAACCAAATAATTGGTCTTTACTTGGTACCCGTGGAGACGTTTATGAAAGATTAGGCCAATACGAAAAATCACTTGAAGACTTGAATCGATCAATAGAAATCAAGCTGAATAATACATCTATACTTATCATCCACGGAAAAACCTATAGACAGTTAGGCCAATATAAAGAATCACTTGAAGATTTTAATAAAGTATTGGAAATTAATCCAAATGATGTGTTAGCAATTCAATATCGTGCATTTACTTATATAAAGTTGGATCGATACGAAGAATCACTCTCAGATCTTAATAAAGTATTGGAAATTGATCCTAATAACATATTTGCACTTAATAGTCGTGGGCATATTTAAATCGGTATTAAGATTCACTCTCTGATCTTAATAAGATATTGGAAATTGAACCAAATAATGTGGACACTTAAATATCGCGGAGCTACTTACATGAAGTTAGGCCAATTTGAAGAGTACCTCGTAGATATTAACAGAGCATTGATACTTAGTAACCGTGGAACCGTTTACGAATGTTTGGAGCGATACAAAAAGTCAAATTCAGATTGAACTAGAATACGGAATCGATTATCGATTTTTTTAATCGACTAGTTAGTCTTAAAAAAAAAAAAAGAGCTTAATAATCGCAGTTAGGCAAGAGGCAAAAAACATACTGTATAATATTATATAAAAAATAATTAATAAAACCCAATACAATTTTTTTTATATAAATATCTTTCAATACTAATATATAGTTAACAAATTTTGTATTATCGGGATCTTTCAAACCAATATATATCCAATATACATCAAAAAAACAGATTTTTGTATTAACATTAAAAGATTATTAAATTTTAAAACATTATAAACTATTAAATTTTACATGTTAGTAATTTTTTCAAGATTGGTTTAGAATATTTAACATTTAATACTATTAATTGAGTATTTTTATATAAATTTACAAATTCTAATTAAAATTTAATTAAATATTTATAAATTTTTATAGTAAAAACTACAGATTATTAGCTAGTATTTAAATAAAATAAATTAATAAAATTAAAATTTTAATGCAATATATTAAAAAATTTTATTTAACCAAGTAGAATTTTAAAATTAAATTACGAAACTTTAATTATTGATTTGCTTTATCTTATTAATCCCAGTATTTAGAATAAAAAAGTTTTATACGCTTTTTTGTCTGTTACAGGTGCAATTTACAAACAAAAATGAAATAAATAATGAAATAAATAACAATTATGCAAAGATAAAAATGAAAACATTTAAATATAACCAAAGATCTGGTAATATGGGTCGTACTGATAGAATTTACTTATTAGAAGCCATTATAAACATGGAATTGGTGATGTAAGAATATCCGATGAAGGTCATTAAGGATAAAAGTCTTAGTTAAACTTTAAATAACTCACCATTATCAAAAATCCGCAGATGAGTCATGGAAATAAACCTTTTTTGTTGACCATTCTCATCGTATACCACATCCATTAAAGAAGCATTGGGACATTGTTATCAATATGAGATTATAAAAAAAAAATGAACATAAGATAATTTTTTTATATTATTGAAAAATCTTCTAAGACGAAACTTGGACTCATATCAAAATATAAAATGAAGTAAAAAGGGATTAAAAGTAAGATATTTGAAATAAATACAGATAATGTAGGCGGATTGAACTATTGCTATAATAAGGATTTGCGCATTATTAAGTGGTTTAAAGGATATAATTGCTGAAATAATGCTAATGAACGTTATTTATGACTACACAGTATAGGTAAGCAAAAAAAAAATCCACAAACGAAGTCTTTTGAGATGATTGTAAACCGATTATAATTAATAGATTAATTTTTTGCTGGTATAATAATTGAACTAAAAGCTTAGAAAAAAAAAGTCACTTAACACATTGAAGCGAGAAAAAATATTTCGTAACAACTATGATATTGGCAATTAATTAATCTGATCGATTAAGTTACACTATCATTTTCTTCACCCATCACTTCTTCATCTTCACTTCTTCACCTTCGCTGTCAATATATTTCATAATTTTGTAACGCGTGATTAAATCAGGTCCTAATTTGATTGACTATGCGTTAGATTACCAGTTAATAAATGTTAAATGACCAACGGTCATCTTAATGCGAAATGATTCAATGACTGGTCAATGCCATTTGAGTCATTTGGGAAGTTTCAAATCCTGTTGTGTAATGATGCGTAATCTAACAAACTTAATTTTTGGTGTACTTTAAAAGAATGATTGATTGCACAGGAAATGTTCACTATTCTGAAGTTTTCAGGCATAATATGGTTTATAAAATGAATTAAAAAGAGTACGGTATA